TAGGAACTGCGATAGGTTGGATTGGAATGGTAGGCGAAGCCTTGCAAGGTACCGCGTGGTGGACTCCATTCCCATTGCGGGCTTCTTCAAGCACCTCCAGTATCTCCACCTCAAGCAATTGCTCTGAACAGAATAATCGTAGATTCAAGATGAGAAGGAATTGTCGATCTTCTTCGAACGCCTTCGATTAATGCATTCGTTGCTGTTCTATGGAGGCAATTCAGTGCTCTCCCAACACTGTTTTTTTGTCTAAATGACTCCCTGGTTCCCAAAGATCCCTTAAAAAAGCACGTCTAACTTTCAGAAATACAATACATGCGTAAATAACTCTTCAGAGAATATGTTCTCGTCCCTTACGCGGTAGATAAGGTCTGCCATTTCATTATCAAATCACCCGCTACCACGAAAAGGCACTTTTGAGGGGAATCAGAAAATCTTTTTTACAGACTGACTGTCTGTAACTCTGAAAAGAAATGGTAAAGAAAAATCTGTGCTAGAAAGTAATAGAGGCAGTTCGGCATTCTCGATGCCAAGTCAAATTACTGACTGAAACGGGAGTTCTAACAACTGAATCCCGTGTTTTGAAAAAGGAAATGAATGCCAAATAGTGAGCTGACTCAGGACCTGACCAACCTTCTGTATTTGGGGGCTGTCGAACGGTTCCATTCCTACTGTCGGAGACATCATGTTCCGGTTCTGCTATTGGTGCCGTAAGTGGTGGCGAAGGTGGTGGTGGTGGTGATCGGCCGAAGGACGGCGAGTACTGTGACATTCGTTCGCCAAGTCGGAGCGATTCTTATTGCAGGTTTAGCTCTGGAAGATGTACGTCGCTTGAACCGAAGTAAATTTGTGAACGATGAATTCGATTCGAGTCATAAATTTGGGTTCAATGACATGAGAACAGGTGAATCATGACAAAAGTCGGCTTATCGTCAAGCATGGCCTCTCACCAACTACCAAACGTAAATGGTTATATTACATATGTGTTCAAGGAACATCGGTAAAGTGTCCCTGAATTTCATTCATCATATCAAAACAACTTCAAAGGAAAATTTCTGACTACAGGGGTAGAAGCCGTGCTGGGCATTGCATGTTCGAAATGCTGTTTATCCTCCTTAATAACATCAAAAAATGTCCTGCCACCTACAAAGATAACTATGCTTGTAAATTATTGACCAAAAAAAAAGGTTCCTCTCCAGTTATGTAAAAACACGAAACTGGGCGACATATGTAAGAACTTACTGGTTACTGCTGTTTAGTCAACTGTTTTGTTAATTGTTATGGGTGAAGGAGGCTTTGAGGCTATAGTTTCTTTCTATTATGGGAAGTATAAAAGCAACAAGCCAAAGATAGAATGTCGATGTCGAAGAGACAGGCCCAGCGACACTTGTTTTGCGTTCCATATTCAAAAGCAAAACTGATACGACTGAATCAACAGCTCATATGTGAAAAACACTAATAAGGCCGATATGATGAGAGTATCAAAGTGAAACTGATAGGCAAAATCACGATCCAGACGAGAATGCCGCACGCAAGACCTTTGAGGGTGGAGATGATCCGCAATCAAAACATCGGCCGCTGCTACCGGACGAGCAAACATAGCGCCAGTTTGATTTGATTTGAAACAAATTAACGACGATGTCGTGCATGATTAGCTTTAAAAACGATTATTTCTTTGTTGGTCCATTGGTAGTCACATCAACTGCTGTTCCTCGAAAAACCGAATTCAGTCGAAGATTGTCAGAACGTTATCAGAGCTATAAATGACATCTAAGCACAGTTGTTATGAGTTATGAACTTTTCGATCTGAACTGCATCTTTCGAGAAACTAGTTAGGCTGCAATGTGTGATGCGTTCAAGAACAGCCCAACGTCGGACCAGTCTTCTTCGTATAATTTGTTGACCCGATCCTAACCTCCGACCTTTTTTCCTGCTGTAGGGCTTTTCTCATTAGATCATGAAATTTTTCTCACTGCACCGGCCATTTGGCCATTTGCTGTTCCTGTCCTTGCGAGCAGGGTTACCCTGAAGTTTTATTGCTCCGTTGATCGTGCGTCATCCATCAAATTTGACCGTACCTCTTCATGTGCCCCTTGACGTAATACCGAATTTCGTAACAGGCAAATAGAGAGGAATCCCTTACATAGAATAGAAGAGTGATGAAAATGATCCTGTAGGTGCTAAGTAATGATGACGATCTTATAGGAAGGATGTAATGATGGCTACATATAAAGAGTGGTTCTCAATTTTCACATAGCCTTCGAACAGAGTTGTGAACGCTTAATCTTAGCTCCGCTGCGCATGAAAATCCAACCATACTGCACTCACCAGCCTTCACGTAATTTTCCCTGATTCTAGAACAATTTTGAGCACAGCCATGGATTTTTTGTCATAGCGGCACCCACATGAGTGCTGGTTTCGAATACCCTTCCACATTATTTCACGATAATCTCGCCCAACCTCGTTTCCCTGCTTTTGAGGAGCCATATTTTTATCGGAATCGGCAAATTCTCTTCCCTAGCGATGAGTTATACCCCACCTTTACTTCCGCTCTTCGAGTAAAAAGGGGTACCTCAACATAATCGTGAAGTGTACCTTTGTCGTGAGTTCGTAGAACGCGATAAAACTAACGTTAAAGGCTTTAGGCCACGAGAAAAATCCCATACACATTCACAAAAGCTCCACCTCCCACAAAAGCCGAATCATAGTCTCTGGCACATGAAGCGTCAACCTTATCACTACCACCACCGGTGAGAATGCTGGTTCATCCAATTATAATAATTTGCGTTTGCATATGCTACGCCCAACTAAAGTCGCCCTCACAATTCCATTCAGAGAATAATTTAGCAAATTTGGAAAGCAAAATTATGATCAACTTCCGAAAACACGTCTAAGGTATAGGTCTCATTTCAAACGGCCATTTTGACATGAGATCCTTCCCTGGTAAGCACTTGTTTTGTGTTTTTTGTTGATTGAGTTGTTCTCATTCATGTGCTGAGTGCACATGCAATGAATAAATTTGGAGGTGCAATTCTACTGAAAGTAAATGAATATGGGATACAATTCGATCAACGCCGAAAGCATGCTCAGAAAGACCTAAGAATTGGGAACAATCTTAGTTCACAGTACTGGACAAGCAAGTTTTTCTGGAAATTTCATGGTTTCGGTGAGCTAATGTTTTTCAATCATTCCGAAAAAAACCTCTGAACGTTGAATTTTGAGGAATCACTTGAAACTGATAGTTTACAGATGTGAATTTCCTAGACTCGCTGTACTTCGGGCTTTTTCATTCCTATATCATGTAGTTTCATATAAAGACAGCTGTGAACTTAAGTTTATTTAAGTTTTCGAGTTTATGTTTACCAAACGAGTTTGGAAACAATTTAGCCTTTAATTTGATAGGTTTTGGAAGAATGAATGCAAGAGTATATGAGGAACAGGATATGAAGAAACACTGCTGCTGCTTGCAGGCGTCTTCCGACTCTTTCCGTCAGGATTGATGCTTACTTCCTGCAAAGCACTGAGTATTCCTAGTACTCGGGTTGCATATTAGAATTTTATCATGTTTCCCCTCACCAGGGCTTCTTTCTTGAGAAGACCTCCTATGTTTCCTTTCTGGATTTGCCTGCTTCGATGATGAACTGCCCGCCGAGTGTCTCTTTGGTGATGATTCTCCTTCCTTCCCTTTATTTTTTTTGTCCTTAGACTTCTTCTCAACAAATCCGTGATCATAAGCATCAAGAAGCGGGCTGAAATGAATGTTGAATGAATGAGAAAGAAATAAGTAGTTTGAACAAGGCGCTTTTGTTCCGCTTCCAATGACTCACTTAGAAAATCCAAACAGGGACTGCTCTCCAGCTTGACCTGCTGTTTCTGGGATCATTTTTAAAATTTCTTCATAGAGTGATTCGTAGTTAAGGGTTTGCCTTAATAGCGAGATATCTCGATACGACTGTGCTTCATAGAACTTCAACACCTACATATGAGGCTGCTGCTTGAGCCATTCAAATATTTTGGAGTAATTGTTTAGAAGGGTAGTTCCCTTCTCGTCCTCAACGCAAGTCATACGTTCCACTGTTTTTTTGTTTTTAACTATTGCCTATAACGATTCTAATTTGCTGTCATTTGTAATTTAATCAACCAATTGTGACCAACCAACCTCTTTCCCATTCTCCTTCGCCCATGGTATCTGGCCTAAGACAAACTCTGTCATTATATAGATACATGAAATCACATCGTCGACAGCGGTTGGCTCCTTCCCACTGAGAGTCTCTGTGCTTCTGAAAAGAGAAAACATACTTTTTGTGAAATGAACATGATTATACAAACCAGTAGTTTACCCATATTTCCAGTTTCCTAGGTAGGAGAGACTAGTACGTGTACGCGGTATGTTCGCGCGGTACTTTCTGCAGCACCAGAGCTCCGTAATGGCCACAAGATCGCACAATTCGCTTTCTTTCCTGAGTAAAGAAGTGAATGTCTTACTTCATACGCCATGAGTAGCGTGAGCTCATTCTCCACTTCTGCAGCTCGTCCTAGATATCTTCCTTGTTCTCCGTTATCAGAGCATGCTGTCAGCATAGAGAATGGTCTACACAGTGATCCTTACTCAAACCCTACAGTGATAACAGCAAGTGTTGGAGGGGATAAGAAAAGATTTCGGGTTCGACTGTTAGTATATATATAGCAGCCCTGGCATCCACTATAGGAACATGGAGAACGTCCGTTGCGCGTGTCTGTTGAAAGTAGGTCACCCCGCCCACTTCGCGCTGTCTCGAGATGGCATTACAGTACACCCCGCCCACATCACGATGAGGTCTCGAGATGACATTACAGTACCACCAATTGTCATTGGAGCAAATGATTTGCATTTGTCTGTGTTATCTTCTTGTTGAACTGACTGCCGTGGACCAAACGCAAAGCGTATGCCCCAGTGACAATTGCGACGTCTGTCAAATATCGCGGGCCGACTCGCCGCGTGCGACGGCTGCGGCGTGACCTAGTTTCGACGGACACGCGCAACGAGCGCATAGGAACATGGTAAGCGTGGAATGGCGAATTAGTTTACAACCTATTGAGAAGACCACCACATGGAAGACGGATTGAAAAATATGCAGGCTGGACATTCCGATGAGCGAATCCTTTCATGTGTAGCAATCTCAGAGCCTGTAACTTTATGGTCATGTTATAACGTTCAAGTCATATAATAGTAAATGGATAACCTTTATGCATCCAATGGTGACGAACACTGAAACATTCACGGAGAGCGATTTCATGCGATTTGACTTGAAAAGTGTTTCAAGGGAAGGTTCGAATGACTCCAAGATGAAGTATGGTCGCGGTACTGCTGGTTTTTCAGTAATGTCGCTATGTTTGTAGCTGTTGCTGTTGATCTAAACGTCCCTTATGGTCATGGACTTAGAAGGACTTCGAATATTGCTGAAGAACTTACATTCAAGTACCGCAATTCCGACAGAGTGCCCTGTCCTAATATGGCGGGATAATGAACACGATCAGTAGAAGAAGGGTACCATCTGGCAAGCATTTTGAACATGCAGTATTCATGATTAAACACCTACAATTCGATCAGTTCCGACACCGTAGAGTTTGAAATCCTACTTGCGACTGCTTGCCGTTCTGGATGTTTTAGGCATAGAGAAATAACATGACATATCAAATTAATTACCGGATACCTATGTGACTTATTCGGGAAAGTGTTCTTTCATTATTCTCATGTTAAACAGGGTGTCCTAAAATCATGGGCGCCAGAATTCAGAAACTTCAAAAGTAGGAATAATCTATCAAATTTACTTCACTCGCTATTAATTAGTCACACAAGTCTGTTTTCTTGCAATATGCATGGTCACTGAAGTGAAGCCCACAACATCTTCTGGTTGGTAGAGGTTCATTCAATTCCAGTTGCAATCATTGGCATATGTCCCCGTTTGAGGATGTCCTCGTTTGGGGACGACGAGCCTTATTGGTCGCTCACTGAATTTTACCTCCTTCTAGGTCGTACGTGCGGACGGCAAGCGGTGGCTATGTGCAAGTTTTACTAAGTAAGCACAAGTAACCCCGTATTAGCTGTGCAAGTTATCAAAGGTCAAGGCGGCGAGAAACGGTCTGTATGGTTACCAAGGGTTACAGGGGTGGCAAATAGTGTACAGCGTTATCACTGCTTACAGGGGTGGCAAACAGAGTAGAGGATTATCAAAGGCTGAAGGGTCGCGCAGAGCGAGACGGCATGCGGGAGACGGAAGGGCATTATGACTTTGCTCGTAATCCCTGTAATATCCGTACAGACTATTAAACGATAGAGAAATGAAGAATCAATCAAAGACAAACCAGGAAGGGCTAGAACGGCTAGAGTTTTTAGAAAAAGGACCATTGAAATGGGCCGTTTGCGGGTGGATCGCGATTCTGGGTGACCTATCAAAAAAACGACAAGGGAGCAGGACTTATTGAGGTTGCCGGTGGGGCGCGTTGTCAAACAGAAGCATCATTGCGACTCCCTTCATGCAGAGATGTCACTTCATTTCCAAGTTCAGAAGACAAGGAAGAGTCAAAGAGTGCAGTTAGTTGCTAGCTCACTTTATTGGATACACTCAAGCTCTTTCTAGAACTCCAGGCTGTTCTCTAGCGAGCATGCAATGGAATATCGTCTACTGCTTGAGCGGGCGTCAACAAGGAACTCGGCAATAGTGTTGCTTTTCGAGAAGGTCAAAAACTAAGAACACTACAAAAGTTTCTGCATCGTGTCATTTGATGTGCTTCTGAAAACCTTTTGAAAACCAATCTTCTGTGTTTGCTATATGTGATGTCTCAGAAATGAAAGAGAAAGTCCATGGCGTTACTTGCAGCGCTTTTGATGAATTCGAGATACCCAGATTGAATGAAATAATGGTGGGCGACCAGTCGCTCGACTGGTCGGTCGACTGATCGCGCGATCTGCTCGGGACAGTCCCCGGCGGCACCCATAACTAGTGAGGCCTCCTCGACCGGTCGCAGACTATGAAAGCAGCCTTACTCCTTATCCAGGCCGTGTTTTGATATAACAGCGCCACATATCACATATTCGGAGGCTGCAGACTCTTCTCAGGGGATGATTCGGAAATCATATCATCGTGGATTGTGCTTCAAACAATGAGCTATCCTCATCTGTACATACATACAGTAGCGCTCAAAAGTCTCCGGTGAAATGCTTTGACGCTTTTTCGTTCATAACTTTTTTCTTAGTGGGCCAAATCGCGCAAAATTTGGATATGTTTAATTAGTGCATATTTCACCCTACCCAACACTAAACGACTGCGAAGCTGCAATATCCACAGATAGAGCAAAGTGTTTGCTG